ATATATGTATATGTATACACACAGACACACACACACACACACACACACACACACACATATATATATATGTATATATATATATATATATATATATATATATATATATATATAAATATATATATATATATATATATATATATATATATATATATATATATATATATATACAGTACAGTATATATATACAGTACAGACACACACGCACAGACACACACACACACACACACACACACACATATATATATAAATATATATATATATATATATATATATATATATATATATATATATATATATATATATATATATATATATATATATATATGTCCCTCGCCACGATGGTCGAGTGGTATAGGCGGCGGGTTCGGATTCACGATCGTGGATTCGAGGCACAAACAGGCGCCTTAGTTTTATATATTTAAAATTAGGACACTGCCGCGATAGCTCAGTGGTTAGAGCACCGGACTCCAACCCTCGTGGTCCCGGGTTCAATTCCCCGTCGCGGCAGTTGTAAAAAATGCCTACGATCTGACTGCTGACTCGAGCCCGAGAAAAAGACATATCGGCTGGAGAAGTCAAACGCAGGTGTCGTAGGGGAAGTCACCGCCGTGGCACAGGTGTTAACGCGCCGAACCACGGTTGATTTGGAAGGGCATTCAATCAGGCAAGGGTGACACCGCCATATAACCTCTCAGCAGTGAACTGAGAGAGGCCTATGTCCTGCAGTGGAATGAAGAAAAAAAAAAAAAAAAAAAAAAAAAAAAAAAAAAAAAAAAAATATATATATATATATATATATATATATATATATATATATATATATATATATATATATATATATATATATACATATATATGTATATATATATATGTATATATATATATATACATATATATGTATATATATATATATATATATATATATATATATATATATATATATATATATATATATATATGTATATATATATATATATATATATATATATATATATATATACATATATATATGTATATATATATATGTATATATATATATATACATATATATGTATATATATATATATATATATATATATATATATATATATATATATATATATATGTGTGTGTGTGTGTGTGTGTGTGTGTGTGTGTGTGTGTGTGACTGTGTGTGTCTGTGTGTCTGTGTGTGTGCGTACGCGCGCGCTCGCGTGTGTGTGTGTGTGTGTGTGTGTGTGTGTGTGTGTGTGTGTGTGTGTGTGTGTGTGTGTGTGTGTGTGTGTGTTTGTGTGTGTGTGTGTGTGTGTGTTTGTGTGTGTGTGTGCGTGTGTTATTACTATCATCATTAACATCATTATCATTAGAATTAGTAATAATAATAATAATAATAGTGATAGTGGTAGTATAAGTAGTGGTAGCAATAGCAGTAGTAGAAGTAGGGTGAAGAGGAGTAGTAATAGGAGAAGTAGAAATAGTAGTATTAGTAGTAGCAATAGTAGTTTTAGTACTATAGGTAGTCATTGCATGAATTTATGATACTGATCATTGCATAATGAAAAATGATAATGATAATGTTAATAACGAGGTGAGATTACGCTAATAAGCTCTGTAAATATCGGACTTCATTCCCTTGCCCTGCGTCTCTGACAGGATAGTAACATCAGGAAAATTTAGGTCTGTAACGTAACATTGTCCAATGCTGCCTTGCACTGACTCTGAATGACATTTTTATCCAGCGTCCAGCACCAGTATGAAAGGATTAATATTCGTTCCTTTGTAAGTCCGCCTTTGTCTACCAAAACGGCCCACCGAATTCAGTATCTTCTTGGCATGTTCTCTTGTAGTTTCTCTTGCAAGATAAAAGTCCTGTCTTGTTCCTGAGTGGTCACCAGTGGACTCCTGAGATACATCCAGCGTATCACGTCTGGAGGTGGCGGGCACTGTGAGTAGATTACAGGTTGCCATTGCAGGTCCTGAATACAACGCTTTTGCTGGACGGACAACAGGTTTTGAACTCAAGAAATAAAAATATCATAACTCTGAAGGATCCTGCAACAAGTGCCTACAAGAATACGATTCAATTATTTGGCTGTGTTGCCTGAAATAATGTTCTAGCTCCAGCAATGCAATTCAGGGTAGGTGGTATCAATTCCCGGGCCTTGGCGACCGACAGGCACATAACCAGTACAGTCACAACCCAGTCCTTCAGGAATTCAGCGACCATGATAACAACAATAATGGTGATAATGATAATAATAATAGCAATAAAAATGATGATGATGATAATAATAATAAGAAGAAAACAGTAATGATAATAAGAATAATGATAGTAATGATAATGATGATAATGACAATAATAATTATAATAAAATTAATGATGATGATGATGATAACAATATTAGTAATTATAATAAAAAGAAAATAACGATGATAACTACAACAATGATGATGATGATGATAATGATAAAAAAAAAATAATGATAGCAATATCAAAACAACAACAACAATAATAATGATGATAATAATAATAATAATAGGAATAATGATAATGATAATAATATAAATAATAATAATAATAATAATAACAATATTAATAATAATAATAATAATAATAACGATGATGATGATGGTGATAATAATAATAATAATAATAATAATAATAATAATGATAATAATAATAATAATAATAATAATAATAATAATGATAATAATGATGAGGTGATGGTATAGAATTAACATCGAAAGACAAAATCAAAGAGATCGACATCGAAGAAGGATACAATTACCTAGGGGTGCTTGAAGCAGGTGGTATACAGGATAAGATCATGAAAGAGAATGTTCGAAAAGAGTACATCAGACGGGTTAAACAAAATACTGAAGTCAAAGCTTAATAGCAGAAATACCATCACTGCAATTGACGCAAGAGCTGTATCAGTTATAAGATACACAGCAGGAATGGTAGGCTGGAAAGCAGATGAACTCCAGTCATTAGACCGTAGGGCAAGGAAGCTGTTGACTACATACAATATGTTTCACAGCAAAGATGTAGATCGATTATATCTACAAAGGTCAGAAGGAGGAAGGGGTCTAATAAGCATAGAAGATTGAGTTCTAATTGAAAAGTTCTGTCTGTACAGCTATGTATCTGTGAGCGAAGAATTGATGTTCAGGGAGAGTTTGAACGAAAGTGTGGTTGTTGTGGGTCATGATAAAGAGACTATTTTGACCAACAGAAAGAGTAAATTTCCAGAGAAGAAACTTCACAGTGTATTCTTCAAAGCAAGCGAATTCAGAGACGTGAAGAGTTGGGACTGGTTGAGGAAGGGTGATTTGAAGAAGGCAACAGAGCGGACACTGATGGCTGGTCAAGAATAGGCTATCAGGACAAAATCAATACAACACCGAATTGATAGAGTTGATATTCCCCCATTTGCAGAATCTGTGGCGAACGCGAAGAGACTGTTGCTTATATAGTTTCTGAGTGCGGAAAGCTTGCGCAAAAACAGTATAAACAGTGGAGGCACGACAAAGTAGCCCAGATCATACATTGGCAGCTTTGTAAAGAGAATAACCTAGAACACAACACTATCTCTACAAGATTTCATTCATGGCTGACACAAATCAGCCAAGATCTGCACTTTGATCTCTTACAAAAAGCTTGCTTATTAGGAACTGCAAGAATTCTGCGTCACGTTCTTAACATCTAAGGAAACGGGTCGTTGCTTGATGTTAAAGAAAAAACAACCGGTCATACACGACCATTAAAGGCTGTGATTAAATATCATAATGATAATGATAAAAAAAAAATAATAGCAATGACAAAAACAACAACAGCAATGATAATGATAATAATAATAATAATAATAATAATAATAATAATATTAATAATAATATTAATAATGAGGATAATAACAACAATAATAATAATAATAATAATAATAACAATAATGATAATAATATTAGTAATAACAAAAGAAATAATAATGATGATATGAATAGGATTGAGAATAATCTTAATAATGATAATAATAATAATAATAATAATAATAACAATAGTTATAATATAATAATGATAATAACAATAATAATAATAATAACAATAATAATAATAATAATAATAATAATAATGATAATAACAATAATAACAATAACAATGATAATAAGGATAACAATAATAATAACAATTATGATGAAAATCATAATAATGATATAACAATAACAGTAACTGTTATGATAACGATAATTAACATAAACATATTAAAATAATATCTATTATGATAATGATAATGACAATAAAGATAAAAAATATGATAATCCTGAAGATAACGATGATGATGGTTTTGATAATGATGATGTGATAATGATAACGTTGATGAAAGTGGTGTTAATGATAAGGAAGAAAATAATGATATTGAAATAATAACATTAACAATAATAATAAAGACATTAACTACAACTGATATGATGTTGATGATCATGATAGTGATGGTGATAATAACGGTAATAATACTAGTAGTAACAGTGTGTCATGAGCGATGTGTGTGCTTGTATTTATTTTAATGCGAATGCCATTTATCTTGACCTTAAATTATGTTATTATGTCTATGTGTTTCCTTTTACTTGAACCGATATATAATGCATGATTTCACATTGCACCCTCTTACATTTTGGTGTAAAACGTGTACGTGTTCAAATTCTAACGGCCGTTAGTTTCACCGACATTTTTTCCATGATGCTAATAATATTATAATGCTCGTATTTTTTGTTGTTGTTTTAATCTTTAATACTGAGTTCTTTTTTATCTTTTTTTATGTATATCTTTATTAATAATGATAATGATATTCTCGGAACTGCGGTTTTCCTAATAACGATGTTTAATGGCGTGATTGACTTTAACAAACTTCACATTCTGATAGTTTTAAATTTCCTTTTTAGTATTTTTTTGAATACCAGCACTGATATACAACACCGGGATATGACAGAAATTAAAAATGCATATAAATAAACAGCGGGCCTACCTCTCCCTCCAGTATCCTCTTCAGCGCCAACATGATGACGTCTTCTTTGTTCCTTTTGGATAAGTCTACGGTCACGACGCCGAGTTTCACTAGCACGAAGATAATAATGAGGCTTAGTTCCCCTTTGGTTTCAGTCTATAGCATTTATGTTATATTCAGAGACACCTTGCATCTCGGAGGATCATATCACAATACTTAAATCGCAGCACTTATCCCGCACTATATCACGGACACCTTCATCACTACCACTTTAAAACTGCTTCTATATTTCTCTTTATCTCTCTCTCTCTCTCACTTTCTCCCCCCTTTTCCCACGTCCACTGTCGAACTCGAGGCACACGACACTGCCACCCAACGAAGTTCCCGCCGATGTGTGAGCTCACGGCGCATCTCGGGCTCTTAACCCCCCCCTCCTCTCCCTCCCTTTAACCCCCCCACACACACCCACGCCCCCCCCCCCTCCTCCACGAGTGAACACTTGCCGGGGCGTTCTACTTGTTGTTCAACGTGTTCACCTGATACACTGTTCTCCCTGTTCTGACTCGCCGACACGTCAATTCGTAGTAGAACGGTGTCATTGTTTGATAACATCGAATGTTATCGGATTTGATGGTCCGAACTGACAGCTGACATACAAAAACGCACACTTGCAAAACCATATGGACTTACACGCATGAATAGAAAAAAAACATAAAAGTACGTGCATACACTTTGTACAAACACACATACACACACATATATATAAATATGAATATATATATATATATATATATATATATATATATATATATATATATATATATATATATACATATATATATACATATGATATATGTATATATATATATATATATATATATATATATATATATATATATATATATATATATATAAATATATATATATATATATATATATATATATATATATATATATATATATATATATATAAGTATATATATATATATATATATATATATATATATATATATATATATATATATTCATATATAGTCATACAGAGACAGACGTGTTGTTATCCATATAATAATGCACGACTGATCTACTCCTTCGCACCTCCAAAATCGACTGTACGTCCGGAGAACAAACCGTTAACCTTGGCTAACCGCTCCGCACATGTCAATCGCATCTGCATATATACAAATATGAATATATGAGAAACGCACACTTATAGAGCCGAGTCTGAAATGACGTTAAAGGACACCTAAATGTATTAGCTAAGGAAGGAACGTGGTGGAGAGAGCAAGATCGAGGAAACAGAAAGTCGAGAGAGAGAGAGAGGGAAGAGGGAGGGGAGAGAGAGAGAGAGAGGGGGGGAGAGGGAAGAGAGAGAGAGAGGGGGGGGGAGAGGAGAGAGAGAGAGAGAGAGAGAGAGAGAGAGGAGAGAGAAGAGAGAGAGAGAGAGAGAGAGAAGGGGGGGGGAGAGGGGAGAGAGAGAGAGAGAGAGAGAGAGAGAGAGAGAGAGAGAGAGAGAGAGAGAGAAAAGAGTTGGATAATGGTAAGAAGAAAAATATAAACGATTTAACAGCAGATAAATACAGTTAGTAGAAAAAATATGTATTATTATGGTTTATACCGAGCGCCTTTTCGCTGACATACTGAGTCATTCGCACACGTAACCTTGACTGAGTGAGTTAATTTTGACTCTGAACAGCTGAGGTCCAGTTCCCTTCCAACCAAGAGAAAATGCGGAGCCACCATATCAAAATTACAATCCTCTTTTATTACAAGCATGATGATAAACAGACTGCTATATACCACCATTTTTTCACATTGTAATGCTAATATCAACGATCCACATGAAGTAAATAAAAGCCGAGTTAGCGAAGGCGGGAGGGAGCAGGGCGGAGAAACCGAAACATCTGTGCTCCGCGAGCCAGCTGCGTTGGTGTCCCAAAGCATCCGGCGATGATTTGTCGCGTAGTAAAATTTATCATAAATACGTTAATGAGACGTTACC